CCCGCTCTCCGCCCAGCCGCTGAGGGTACGCTTACTAAAAAAAGGTTGAAAACCCCTGCTTCAGTCGATACAGTTATGTCAGCAAATGCCCTAGCAGGGATACAGCTATTGTTCTGTCAGCTTAATATATGTTATTCAGGGAGAAGGTATAATTATGCTGCCCCCAAAAAAACAATTTCTCTGCATATGATGCATCTTTATGAGGGGGCTCCGCTGCCATGGTTACGCCAGCATAGCTATAGTAGCAGAAACTCCATAGTCTAGACATACCATGAGCCTTACCCATGTCCTGGTCCTGATTACTCTCTCTAATGTCATTAATAATGAGGGAGGAGGGATTGCAGTTTTGTCAGCCAGGCTAAAGAGTCAAACCTGCATCTCAAATCAGTTAAAATGCAAAACAGTTTTTGACAAAGCAGGTTTATGTGTACGTGTTACAACTTTTTATAAGAGAGATCACAAATGAAGAGGAAGATGACAGGAAAGCACCACCTATTTCAGGAGCAAGCTCCGGCAGGCTTTGTACAGAGAACTGAACTGCCAGGCTTCCCAGCACCGTGGAGTCCCAGGGCTCATGTTAGAACAGGAGCTGCAAAGGTTCAGGTTAGGGGAAGTAACAGGGCTGTGTGACACTTCAGTCGTTGATTTGATTCAGAGGAGATTCAGCCTGATTTGGCGGCTGAATCTCCAAATCTGAATTAAATCTGGAGGCCCATTAATCTCTCTGAACCAAATCGGAAGAATCCAGTTTGATTCAGAGAGATTTGATGATTCAGCCATAGACAAAGATTTATGTTTTTTCTATGTTCCTCGAGGTATCAGGTGCGGCTCGTGAATGCTGAGATGGGGCGGATGGAGTGTCCCACAGGAGTGGTCTCCCGTGTGCTCAATGACAGACCCAGAAGTGGACCAAAAGTACTTCTGGTCTACTTCCAGGTCCGCTGCAGAGTGGTGGAGGACCCTTCGCCCCCCAGCTTGGTGACTGGTGCCTCCTGGGTCTGGGGAGGCACCCCAGGTCCCTCTGTAGACAACTGCCGAGCTGGGGGGTGTGTGCAGGGGGCCCCACATGCGCTCGGTGACAGACCCCCCCCGCACTCCCGTGGGGTGCCCCATCCACCCCACCATCTCAGCATTCACAAGCTGCACCTGGTACCTTGAGGTACGTAGAAAAAACATATAAAGCTGTGTCTATGGCTGAATCACTGATTCTCCAAATCAGAATCAAATCTTCAGATTCAGATTCAGCCGAATCGTATCAGGACAGCAATCTGAATCAGCAAATCAAATCACTGTCCTCCAAATCGAGCCAAATCCAAATCTGAATCGAATACTGCCCGTTTCGCAAACCCCTACAGACTATGTTTTTTAGATGAGGGCAAATTGTGTCGAACACCATATGAGCTAGTTGTGATTAAACACAACCACGTTTGTCTCCAGCAATTGTAGAGACCTTTCCTGTTTTTATGACATGGAGCTTTAAAGAGCACTTTTGTGAGAAATCTCTCAAGTATAACAGCACATGGTCTGAAGCTTATGTCACAGACATGGATGGAAATGAGAATTAACTTGAGAAAAAATCAACTGGACTGTTTTCCTATTGCCTTGAGCCTTATGTAACCACTTATCTCTGTAAGAAATAGCTGTAAAGAGCTCAAGAATTGAAAGCAGCAGCATCTGCTCTATCAATTCTTTTAAACCAAAATCTAAAATCATCATTTTAAACTCTGAACAGCTCTAAGTAACAATACCAAAGGTGAGGCATTGTGGAATTGGGCCTAATAACACTAAGTAGAAAAGTGACATGCAGTCAGAACCAGGGCCACAGACTCTGCCCTTCAGACATAAATACCATTTTGATTAGGTTTCTAACTGCCCTGAGCATAATCATGTCACCAACTAATCATCTTATTTCAGTTGGCGTGTATAATTCAGTAATGCCAAATCCCTTTAGTAAAATCCATGGTCTTAGCTGCATTTAGCCATTCAACCTTTGTACTCTGAGCGGTTTATTTTTGCTTTAAAACTAATGACAAAGAGTGGGAAAAGCCTAGTATTTAAGCTATGTTATACTCATTTAAATTAACACCAGGCTGCAAGCAAGTTCTCCCCAGACATCTTCCGCTCCCATTCACATTCCCCTCCTCCACCTTTTCCCCACTCCAGAAAAGGTCAGTTGAAGGAGTGTTATGGAGACTGACAAATAACATTGAAACTTCCTTCCCTCCAACAATTTCTATTCTCAACAGGAGCCTGAAGATTGTGTAACAGCTCTACGGTGGTTGGCAAGTAGAAAGTTGTCAGTACCTGTCCTAGCAGGCTGATGGCAATTACAGCTAATGGCCTAGAAGCAAAATGGCTCCGTGTATTGTGTTTAGGCAACGTGGTTATTTTTGTTACTAATAGAAAACTGAGCTATTTTGAATAACATATTATTTTGACTTTGGTTTGTAAAAGAATGAATCCTCTCTTTGTCTAGAAACTGTTAAAGCCTTTTTCTTGTTATTGTTTTGACTGCACAGAAGAAAACCTGATTCCCACAAACCAGTAGTTTTCAACCTTGTGGCTAGGGACAGACATTCAAAAAGCTGAGCATAAATTGATTCAATCTTTTGCAGGTTAGTCTAACCTGGTTAAGCTGAACCAGTTTATAACTGGACAGACATCCCCTCTGGACTGAAGAAATGCAGGCACATGCCTGCAGTGGTTCAGCCTAGAAGCTGGGGGGGCGTGGGGGTGTGTGCTAGAGCAGCCCTTCCTTCCCTGCCACAGTACTGAGCTGAGGGGGTGGGGCATGGCCAGGCCCTGGCAGGATGCTCTAATTAGGGTGGGGTTTTCCTTCCCTCCCTGCTCTTGAACAGCCCAGCAGGGAGTTGATAACAGACCATTTATTAACCCATCAGCAAAATAATAGCCTCTCTCATTAGTTCAAGCTCTTCTTAAACAACTTTTTCCAAGGAAGGAAGGGAGAGATCAGCTAACCTGTTGATTAGCTCCAAAAAGCCCTAAGTGGACAGTGTCCTGTCTGCCTTTATCCTGTCTGCTTTGCACAGGCACCTCTCAGCATTAGCTAGCATACCACATGCTGGCTATGGTCCGTGTAGGAGGGGGGAGTCGGGGGATCCCTGCTTGAATGGGGAGTGGTTGGAATGGGGCGGCACAGAGAAGCCAGGCAGATGCTGCTGTGTCTGCCATCTCTGCTGGAGCTCCAACCAGGGAGCAGAGGGGAGGAGCCAGCCCAGCCCTCTGGAGCAGAGAGCCCCATCTGGGATGCTGGGGAACTCTGGTTTAAGTTAAACCAGGAATGGGTCTGGGACAGACATTGCATAAACCGGTTTGACACAAATCAGTTAAGTCTGATACTGCATTCAACCAGGCTTATCTCAAACCTGTTTCATCCATTTTCAAACAGGTTTATGTGCACTGAACGTCTGTTCTGTTACAGGTTTAAACCAGTTTCTGATCACTGAAACTGGTTTATGTGTAATGTCTGCCCCTAGCCTGTTAGCCTCAAGGCACCCTTTGGAAAATGTCAACTCTTAGTTTTCCCTGGTTTTTTGACTCTTGGCTGAGTTCTTTGCAATTCTTCTGTTGCACAGAACTCAGAAAAACTACAATGGGTCAGACTGTCTTTAATACTATGGATCCACAAGATAAACAGAGATTTCAAATAGGAATCATGTTTGCACACTTAATCATGTTAGCATTGTGTGGCATCCCATGGCAGCCTTGAAAAGATCCCAAGGCACCCAAAAGTACTGTAGCACTCTGCTTAAAAATCACTGCCATAGACACTGAGTCTGACTTTCCATTGCCCTGCACCTTACACTGTCATTTATGCCTATGTGAAGTGAGTGTAAATTCTAGTACTATGATGTGGTTGGGTTTCACACCCACCTTTCATTGCCCTGTATTTTTTTGCACAGTCCTTTGTAACAATGGTGAATCAGCTCAGTTACATTCTCCAAATGTTTTTGTCTTAGTCACACCCTTATGTCCACTTGCTTCCGCCACCTGCTACTCACCTGAGCTGTCATTGAACTTGGGATGCATCTAAAGACCTTCAAGGTTACTGAAGGAGACATTTATAATGTGTGTGGGGAGGGAATGCTAAGTATTGAAATGATTCAAGAAATCATGGTGGATGAGAATAGGTACATCATCTTTTTTCTCTTTGAGATAAAAGGTAATGTTTCCACAGGAATTCACATGACAGCAAGAAAGCAACTGCATTTGTCTTATGATGTTTAAGCAAATGTGAGCTAGGGCCTGTCTGCAAAACTAGCCTCCAGTGGCAGTGATTGTCATTCTAGCCGGCTGTGACCTTTTCATTGTTTCTACATATGCACTAACCCTTTTTCTTTACAAGTAGGTCCTAGAGCATTCCTGGTAATGTTTCTCTTCTGTGTCACAGCCCTAACTAAAAACCTTAACTGAAGTGTGGTATTATGAACTCAGGTGTAGTAATGATTGACAGTGAAGTGTTGGAGGCACTGTCAAGACACAAGAACGCTAAATTTTGTTTTTACAAATCTGGATAAGAGATGTACATAACGTACTATAATGATTAAGGGGCTAATGAAACACTATTTTTCACTATTTTTGCTTAGTTTGTTGTGGTTTTTAATTTTATATAAACTTATTTCAATAAATTAATACTTGTTTTTGTTTTGATCTTAAAATGAATAATATACCACTGGACCCTCTGCATAAAATGTGTTGTTATGCCATACCTTCTGAACCCCCTTTTTCAAATCCTAGATCTGCCTATGCTCCTATGTCTGGGATTTTTCTCCATTTAAAAATTCTTGGTCCACCAGGCAGCCAGTAAATCAAAACATATCTCTCTAGTTCACTGAGCCTCTCAGACAAGGCAATTAGCAGAGCTCTTTGGAACAAACTTCTTTTTTTGTTCTGAGTCTGTTGAATGCCTAGCAAAATGGAGCCCTGGACCATGACCTGGACTCTTGTTGCTACTGCAATGTATATAAAATGATAGTACAATTACAGTCTTTTGCTTCATTGTGAAATCGAAAATCATCCTTTGAATTACCGAAGAATCTTTGCAGTGGGCAGGCATGCCAGGTTTGGCACACATAGGTGGGGGTAGGCAGATTGGAAATGCTCAGCCCCAGCCAACACTGGCAACACCCCAAGCACTTTAGTTCACAGGTAAAATAGCTACTGTAATCATGGTTCTTTCAGTAATTAAGAAGCAAAAACTGAACACACAACTGCCTTTCCAGAAATGAACTATGTCACTTTTGAAAGCCCCTAAATTCCCACAGAACTACAAGCTGCAATCTTGACTTCAGTCCCAGAGGGGTGTATATAGTTCGCACCTTCCTACATTTTTGCTCCAGAATAATCATGAGTGCCAAAACACAAATGTTGGTTATGGTTGGATCATGGTTCAATATCTGAAGCTTGGACCCGTCCATAGTAATGACACGTGTTTAATTTCGAAGTTATTTTGCCATATTTTGTTCTGCCGCCTTGAAGAGATGTAAGTACTGTATTGTACAGCGTATTTGCACTGCGATCCCTACTGAGTGTCTATAATGTGTGCAAGAATATTACCCTTGATCCAAGAAAGAAACATGACAGCTGCTTGGGAATTTTCTGACAAAAAGGGTTGACTCGGGAAATTGCCATTTCTCTGAAACCAAAGTGTATTGCAGAAACATCAGTTTCTGAAGCTGTGACAGGTCTAACCTACACTACACTGTTTTTCCATCACTACTATGTCAGCCACAGGGTGCAGAAAGATCACATAGGTCCATAGATCCCCCTCCCCCTTTCCATATCTGTATGTAACCATGCCAGCAAAAGAGGGCTGCTTGGCTTTGCTCAGGAGGTAGTGCCTCTAAGGCGAAAATAAACCTGGCTTCTGCCGCCAATCTCCACATCTCCACTGGGGGGACTCTAACTCTAATAACATTGCGATGGTGACGGCAGCAGCCCAGTCTTCAGAGGGGAATTAAATTGCAGTGGTCAAGGCTACTTGTCATCTGAGGGAGGACTTTCCAAGGGGTGGATCCAGGATTTGGCAAAGGGGAGGTGTAGGACCCTTGCAGCAGGGGTTGCTGCATCTTGCTCCCAGACTCCCCCCTCCACCCACTGGTGTGGGCAAACCATGATGCTGTGGCCTCTGGGGACTTTTCTAAAGTCCCAAAGGCAGGTAGGAATCCCCCTTTCCCTTTCATGCTCAGAGGCACATCCTATTCCCTCCCCTTCCCCCCCATCCTTCACCTGCTGCTACTGTTTCCTCCCCTATCGCAGCCCTGGGAAGTTTCAAAGCCCTTCCTGCCTCCAGATGGGCTACGGGGCAACTGGGCTCTGCTGGGACAGGAACAACTGTGGCAACCGAGGTGGGTAGAGGTGTGTACCCTCACTCTGCCCGGTCCCCTCAGAAGCAGGCATGGGGAAGTGGGAGCCCCCCACCCATCCCCTCTGCTGCTGTCACTGGTCCCAGCTGAGCCCACCCCAGCACAGCCTGGCTGGAGCAGCAGAGACAGCCCTGAAGCTTCCTGCTTCTCCTCCCCACCAGTAGGCAAAGCAGTAGCATCAGGTAGGGGTGGAAGGGGTGGGATGGGAAGGGGTGTGCAGGGAGGGGACCTGCCTTTGATCAGGAAGAAGCTGGGAGATTCTCACATGTTTGGGGAACTTTAAAAAAGCCCCTGGGACTCCTAGGGTGTGACCCATTCTGGAAGGAGGTGCCACTGGGCTTGTCCTTGGGAATGTCTCACCAGGATTTGAAACCCTTTACTTTTATGCTTAGCACATTTTCACCTTTAGCATAACTTTTGTAAGTGTCCCCATGGAAACGCCTGGCAAAACTGCCGTAATGCTGTCAGAGTGCTGCTGGCGGTGGCTTTGGATTTAAGGCTATACTCTCGTCAGACGGACAGGAGGTGGAGGCTATGGTTCCTACGTGCAATCCTGCCTATTAAGACAATATATTCAAGCACTGACCTTCTTGCTTGACTCATCCAGAGCATGACCATGATGCTGATGTTGATTCATTCATATTAATGTTACTGTGGCTGTGATTTCCCCACCTGGGTTGCAACACTGCCAACAGCACTTTCTAGTGCTATAGAATTTATTAGCTACTTGCTGCTGCTCTCTGCCTTTCATTTCAAGGTCTGCTGCTTCTCTATTGCTTAAAGTGCTAGGTCTCATTCCTTGACATGGAGAAGCAATATGCTCACTGGAGAGATGGAATAGAGACACACACTCATTGGCAGTCCTAAATTTCAATCAGTCCTCATCCAACAGTCATCCTGTCAACAGGGTGTAATGAGAAATTTAAGCAATCACGCAGACTTCTCTCATTTGCAAAGCTGTGTGCATTTGTTGTAAATGTGTTTTTCAGCATAGGGACCTCCGGCTTCAGGGTGGGGGGAATCTCTTTTGCAGAGCTTGCTACTCAGTAACTCGTAGGATGTGGGCCTCCTGACAGAGAAGTCAGCTGGCTTCTATGTGTACTTTGCTCTGGGAGCACCCGCTTCAGAACAAAAAGGTACGTCTGGGGATTTTCTGAGAAGATCCTCTAAACATCAGCCCATCATTGTTTCTAGTACTTTCCTGGAAATACCCTTTCCTTGAAAAGAGTTGGAGGCTGTGCTGGAAATGGAAAGAGCTCCATGAAGAATGCTCAGGCTGTGTCTTGCCCCACCCCCCGGAGCATTCAGGAGGGCACTGAGCACTCCAGGAGTTTTTTAAAGTTCCCAAAGCACATACAGCTCACAATCATTAATTCAGGCCTCTAGCTCTTTCAGATCTTAACCACTGGCTTTCTTAAACCAATGCTGCAGCAAGTTACAAGGCCATTTCTTAATCAGTTTGCAACTCAAAATATATTTATTCCAGAGGCTATGACTCTATTTGTCAGAAATATCTGAGTTCATGGTAAAAAACATTTCAAGGGCTCTTTCCACATCTCCTTTTAATAAAATGTATTCAATCTCACCATTACAGCACTGCAGAGAGAGCTACCTGTTTACAAATTAGATCTGCCATATCTTAAGACAGATTACTGACAGGATAGGATAAAATACGCTATAGATAGGAGTAAGAAATTACTGTGTAAAACAAGCAATAGAACCTCTCTGTAGCATTAGCGTGGCCAAACTAAATAACTGAGACCAGTGCTTTGGTTTTTAAGGTTTATGTTACTACAGCATGTCCTTTGGCTGAACTCTAACCATTGTTACCTCTGAAATAGTAAGGAATTTGCAAAAGTGAGTGATTGTAATACACTGAAGAAGAGAAGATTAAATTCTGGGTGTGCACTGAGTCTCAGAGGCACGGCACAGCACTAATAATTCACATTCAAAACAGACTTTGTGCGCTTCAGTCCTGGCTGAGGACAAAGTGGGAGAAAAATCAAAAATAGAATAATAGAATGATAGAAAATTAGGGTTGGAAGGAGCCTCAGAAGGTGATCTAGTCCAAGCCCCTGCTCAAAGCAGGACCAGCCCCAATTAGATCATTCCAGCCTGACTGTTCCTAATCACCTTCTCCTCCAAGTGCTTACAAATGGATTCCTGGAGGCTCTGCTCCATGATTTCTCCAGGGACTGAGGTGAGGCTGACTGGTCTGTAGTTCCTTGGATCCTCCTTCTTCCCTTTCTTAAATATGGGCCCTATATTTGCCCTTTTCCAATCATCTGGGGCCTCTTCTGATCACCATGAGTTTTCAAAGATGACGGCCAATGGATCTGCAATCACATCAGCCAACTCCCTCAGCACCCCAGGGTGCATCCCACCTGGCCCCATGGACTTGTACACATCCAGCTTTTCTAAGTAGTCCCTAACCTGTTCTTTCACCACTGAGGGCTGACCCAAGTGGGGTGTGGGGCCCGGGGCAAATCAGCCCATGCGGGGACCTGCCTCTGCTCTGATCTGGGCCCTGGACCCAAAGAAGCTGCCACTGCAGTGGCATAGGTAGCGGGGAGGGGGGGAGCCAGTGTTTGGCCATGGAGCAGCTGTTCCACCCGGCTCTGTGCTCTACCTCACTCCATGGGGCCCCCCAAAGCACGGGGCCCGGGGCAGCTGCCCCGATTCACTCCCCCAGGGATGGTCCTGGATGCAGAGTCTGTCTGGGAGCTGCTTCTGTTTGAGCTGGGAACTTGCCCACTTTGTCATAAGGTCCTGATAGCCCTCCAGTGCCCTCCCACAAGCCCCACTACATGCCCACAAGGAAAAACAAGTTCTTCCACAATTTGCAAGGAGAGTATTCTATGCCATATCTACATAGTACACTTACTGTCCCTGGCAGTGGTTGTGCACCACACAGGCTGCCTCCTAAACCAAAATATGTGTACCCATATTTATGTAGTAGCATAGGTGTAGGCAGGCTGGACATGCCTCCACTGCTTCTGGTTGAGGAGGCAGACTGCCTGGAACAGCACAGTGTGCTTGAGGGCATTTCTGCTGAGCATATTAAAGGCATGGTGTAGACATAACTGTAGAACGGCTCAATTTGCTTTCAT